GTCCCACCCCGGCTCTGGGCTGGGAACTGCTGCAGAGCCTGGGGGCATGGCTGTGTCAGTCAAATGGACATGATCTCCATGGTCTTGGACAGACCTAAAAACACATTCCCTTTTATTAGAGGTCAGGGTGGAAGAGAAGATAACATGTAATCATGACTTGTAAGGTCATAAGCTTGGGTAAGAAAACGATATTTTTGGTTGTAGGTAGTGAAAGAGCCAAGACGCTTTTCAATCTGGGAGAGGTCAGACAGAGAAAGGAACATGGACTCTAACTCCTCCTTCAGTCCCACCCACTTCCCTAAGGGGAGGGACAAGAGGATAAGCAGAGAGAGGGTGTGGCTGCTGGGAGGTGAAAAGAAAGTGGGGGGGGGACTGGATTGGGGAGCTGGAGGAGGAGAAGATAGAGAATTTAGGGGATCAAAGGACACAGAAGAGGGGTTGGGAGAGGGCAAAGAGTCTGAGAGGAGTCTCGAGACTTTAAAAATATGGCAGGTTTTCAGGAGGTAGGGAAGGGGTGGAGTGCAAGAGAAAGACAGCCTGGGCTTAAGGCAGTTTCGGGCCACTTTTTCTGCCTATGGCAAAGGTTGTCTAAGTCGGTTAGAATTTTGGGGTCAAAAGAGCCCATTTCCGGCCACCTAGAGCCACTGTCCAGTTCATATTTGGGCCAGGCCGTGGTGCAATAAAAAATGAGGTGCTTAGGTCTCACATCCGGCTTTAAATGTAGAGGGCCCAGGGCCTTTAGGAGGCACCCCAAGGGGGTGTCTGCCAGAATGTGGGATTCCGTTGATTCCATAGTGAGTGTCCCTCTTAGGATCTCAAAGGGAGGGTCGGGGAGGGAGGCCGAAGTCCCAGCGTCCCTGGCCCGATCCTCAGGGAATCGAGCGGGAGAGTGAAAGGGGAAGGCGGCGTCCCGCTGTCCTCTTTACCTCCAAGAAATAGGAGAGATCGTTCCCCTGAGGAGACATCTCACCTCAGAGGGAACCCCACATGGAAAGCGCAGATCAGGAGGGGGTAGCAATTGCTGAATAAAATGAAGAAACCCCCGTGATCCTGTTACAGGGCAGCACCAATGTTAGGGGGAAAGGATGTCCTGAGCTAATCCCATACATGCTTTGTGGTCTCCACCCGCACTCCAGACCAAAGCCATCAGGACACCGGGAAAGACAAATCCCATCACCACCAAAGGGAAGGTTGCTGGGACCTATAACACCAATATAAAACGGGGTGCCTGACTGTGGGTCCTCACCCGTGTGCTTAAAAGTGTACAGGCACACACGAAAAGTTAATGAAAGGTTTATTTACAAGGGAAGGGGAAATGAGGAAATGTACAACTCAGGGAAAAAAGTGGGAGACAAAGTTTTAAATCCGTCCTACCCGATCCGCCGATCTGGAATCCCAAATGGCACTCTGAGAGCTGGCCGCGAGCCAGGAGCCCTGAAGCCAGGAGGCGAGCCAGAGAGCGAGCCCCCCAAGGCCCACATGTCTGGTTTTTATACCAACCCTGGCTGCTTAACTCCACCCTCAGGTCCCAGCCACCTTCCCTTTGGTGGTGTCGGGATTTGTCTTTCCCAATGTCCTGATGGCTTTGGCCTGGAGTAGGGGTGGAGTCCAGAAAGCCTGCATGGAATTAGCTCAGGACATCCTTTCCCCCTAACAATCCAAGGGACCTTAGAGGCAACAGCTCACCCTGGGAGAGTCACGAGCCAAGCGCTGGTGGTCCACAGGCTGGCCGAGTCTTTTCGTTATTTGCGATTATTTGGCAAAGTGCCCTAGGAAGAGAAGGTGGACCAACAGGAGGAAGAGGAGGATGGCCCCTCCAAGGGAGATGAGAAGAAGAAGTTGTTGAGGCGTAAGTGGCCACATGAATTGGAGTTACCAGGAAGCCCAGTAAGGGACTAGAGCAAGTCCCTGCTCCACTCACGTGACATGAGAGGCAACGAGGGCCCGTTCTCCCGCAGGGAGGGTGCCCCGGGTCGTGTACCAGCGGCTGTTAAGCCTTAGTGAGCTCGGAGGGGTTGCAGGCTTCCAGTTCCATGGGGAGAGGTAGAAAGAGAGAGAGTGAAGGAGAGGGAGAGTGGAGGGTTTGGGACAGGGCAGGATCCCCACGCGGGATCGAACCCCGTTCCCGGCCAATGCACCAGATGAAAGGTTCAGAGCAGTAAAGAAAAGGAGAGCCAGGCTAAATTTCTCAAAGGAAGGGAAAATTTATTGCACCCCTGATGGCCTCAGGGACCCAAGGTGGGGGTCTGTGAAGCCGCGCACATTGTCAGGGGGAAGCAGGGTTTTATAGGGTGAGGAGAGGTCAGGTGTGAGACTGGGTTTGTAGGTCCTGTAGGGCAGGGGAGATTCATTATCTGAATCCTCTAGGCAGGCTTCTGCATTCCTGTTCCCAGGTGGGCTTTCTGGTGGGTTTTTGTATTCAGGCCTCCTGCATGGACCTTTCAGTAGTGAAACAATAGGTAACTTTTAAAAAAAAAATCATACAATTGTATGATTATCCTTACATTTACAGAAAGTTATTTTCTTAAAAATGCTTTGTTCTCATATAATGATTATTAATATTCTAAAGTAAAGAAGTAATAATGCCAGGGACCACCCTCAGCAAACTGTCCTGTGAGGGGTTCCTGTGAGGATGAGAGGGCATGGACAAATCTGAGGGGTTAGGGGGAGAGGGAGTGAGGAGATGCAAACACTTGATCAGGGTGCAGACATCATCCTGCTGAGGGTCTCAGCAGCCCTTTATTTATACCTTACAAGCAAACCCAGAGCACATAAGCATATGTATTAGAGCAGGAAGATAACAATCATCACATCTTCCTCTAGAACAGCCAGGGGTTTATTTGCCCTTCAGCAGAGGTTGTAACATTCTTTATTTTGAAGAAGGCACAGTTGCTAAACAAAAGTGTTCTTAGAATAGTCATTTATCTTAATCATTTTATTACTAGCAAAAACTTACATGACTGAGACTAACATTTCTATATTTACTACAGTGAAGGATTAACTAAGGGCTGGGGAAACAAAGGACAGGAAGTTACCTGGGGGAAGGGAGACAGAGGGATTTTTTTCTAACTAACCTATAAAGTTGAGACTAACATATAACCATATTGTTACAGGGCAGGGAAAGGGGCAGCCCAGACACCACAAACCTGCCTATTCTAAATGGGTTCTGCCATCCACTGCATGAACACAAATCATATGAGACTTTAATGGGAAGGAACTTTAATAAAATTAGGAAAAAATACAGAAAAGGCAAAGAATATAGTTTCTAAATCAAGCACCCAAAGTTACCCGTTGCCTCGTGGTAAAAGTCCACCCAAGCAGGATTGGCCCAGAACAAGGCCCCAAAGCCTGCCACAAGTCTTAAGCATCTTCCAGTGGGGATCCACAGAAAAGGATCAGAAATAACCAGACAAGTCTGGAGGGAAAAGAGCAAAATCAAAATCAAGATAAAAACAGCCATTGCCACCTCCCAAAGGGTCTCTCACCCACATCTGTGTCACCCAGTCCACGACCAAAAGGCAAGTGCAGTTTCTTCACGTGTCTCTCGGCTCTATGTGCCTCCTCTGGCTCCATCCGGCTTCCTTCCTTCCTCAGTCTCCTCTGCAGCTTCTTCTCTCTCTGCTCAGCTCCACCCTCCACTTGGGTGGGGCAGGGAGCCTGGAACCTCCCCCTTTCTTGGGGACAACCCTGTTACAATCACCCCTTTTAATTTTTATTCCACCATATCTATGGTGGCACAGATCTCAGGGTGTAGTCTTAGGAGACAGTCTTTTTTTCAGTGTTACAATGTGTGTAAGAGAAGCAACAATTAGTCAGCAGCATTGTCCATGAATGTCCAGTATGACAGTTTTCCATTACTGGAAAATAGTCCATTATCCAAGCCAAAAGAAAAAAAAAATCTGGAGCATTAGAAGCGTGCGGGTGAATGTTACAGGGCAGCCCGGATACAAAATGGGTTGCCTGACTGTGGGTCCTCACCCACACACTTAAAAGGACTTATCAATACTCTACTGCAGGCGGGCCTCCCAGCCTCTGCAGCGCCGGTTCAATCCCCGGCTGCTCCCTGGCCACCTGAGGAGGGTCCCACGTGGTGCGCAGACCTCTCCTGCCGCCCGCTGCTCCCCTCAGCAGTGTACTTCCGTCTTTCTGCCTGCTCTGCTCCCCGCTCTGGCTCTGTGAATTCTCTCACCCTCCCACGCTTCTGACTGTACCCAGTACTTGTATAAATAAATAAAAAAAATTAAAAAATCTAAAAAAAAAATACTGCAGGCACACACATGAAAGGTTAATAAAAGGTTTATTTTTAATGGAAGAGCAAATGAGGAAATATACAACTCAGGGAGAAAAGTGGGAGACAAAATTTTAAATGTGTCCTACCCGATTCGCTGATCTGGAATTCCAAATGGCACTCTGAGAGCTGGCGCGAGCCAGGAACCGTGAAGCCAGGAGGGAGCAAGAGAGCAAGAGCCCCCAAGGCCCCCCAAGGCCCCCCAAGGCCCCAAGGTTTTTATACCAAACCTGGCTGCTTAACCCCACCCTCAGGTTCCAGCAACCTTCCCTTAGGTGGTGACTGGATTTGTCTTTCCCAATGTCCTGATGGCTTTGGTCTGGAGTGGGGGTGGAGTCCACAAAGCCTGTATGGGATTAGCTCAGGACATCCATTCCCCCTAACATGAGGACCCACAGCTAGGCAACCCGTTTTATATCGGGGCTGCTTTGTAACAATAGGATTAAAGCAAAAAACAGAAGGCTTTTATACAGAAATCATCTAATATATATTGTTTTAATAAGATACTGATTCAATATTAAGGCACTGTGGAACCAAGCTTAGCTGAGGTTTCGCCATTTTGTATATCCTCCACCTTGATATGTTAGTCCTTGTCCAGCCGCATTCCGGAGATAGTTTCAGCAGTCACAACCCTCACTCCACTTGGTGACGAAAAAGCAGACCACCCCAGCCGCCAATGAGGGCAGTCCTGTCCATAAATGGGACAGCATCTCTAACCGTCCAATCAGTTTGAAACTGTAACCGCGCGCGCCCAAAGTGCCTTTGTAGTAGCCAATGAATAATTGCCAACTTCTTTCAAAGTTCCCGCCACTCGCGACCCTATAAGATGTCCCAGCTTCCTCTGTTCGGAGCTCTCGACCTCTGCCGTTGCATCGGTGCGTGTCGAGGGCCCGGTCTCGAGCCCGTATTAAACTCCTTTGTGCCCTTGCATCGGTTGTCTGTGTCCTTGGGGGCTGCACTGGTCGACGTGGGCACAACATTTTGGGGGCTCGTCCGGGATCGACGAGTGCAGACCCCAACTGCCGAGCAACCGAAAGGAGTTCTAAAGCGCGCAGGTGAGTTCCAACACTCGCCCAGGTAAGCTTCAAGTCTGCAGACCTGTAGTTGTACTTAGTACCTGTATCTTTTGTACTTTGTACCTGTAGAAGCTGTTTTGTACTTAGTACCTGTATCTTTTGTACTTTGTACCTGTAGAAGCTGTTTTGTACTTAGTACCTGTATCTTTTGTACTTTGTACCTGTAAAAGCTGTAATTGTTTGCAAACCTGAAAATCTGTTCAATAGCCGGGTCAGGCTTAAGTGGACGCACTTGAAAGCCGCCGGCGTGGACCGCGGGAGACGTCCCCGGACCACATGTTAGGAAGGCCACACCCTTTGCGGGGAAGCAGATACCCCTTTTGGGGGCCTTTTGAAAAATCAGTCTTTGGCCTGTTTCTTGTGACGACAGCCACTGTACTTCTAGCATTTGTCATCATGGGTCAATCACCATCTACCCCTCTATCCGTTGTTTTACAGCATTTTAAAGATGTCAGGTCCAGAGGGTCGGACCTCAGTGTAAATATAAAAAAATCCCCTCTAATCACCTTTTGTTCCTCAGAGTGGCCGAAGTTCGGAGTTGGTTGGCCCCCGGAGGGAACTTTTGATTTACAGATTGTCCGTCGCGTAAAGGAAATCATCACCAGTGAAAGAAAATTCGGACATCCTGACCAACTCCCGTATATCTTAGTCTGGCAAGATCTAGTCCAGAACCCCCCTGCTTGGTTAAAGCCATTTTTGTCGTTACAGGCACAACCCGTACTGCCGGCTAAACTGCTTGGGTCCCACCCCAACACCCCGTCGGCACCTGCGGTTATCCAAGATTCTACCCCGGAGGAACTTCTATTTCCACCACCCTATCATAACCCTTGTAGTAACCCTCCCCAACTCCTGCGGTCGGCTGACCACCCTCCCCCAGAGGCGGGCGGGGCTCGTGGGCAGGGTCCGGCGGCAGGCACCCGCTCAGTGAAGGCGAATTCCCCGGATTCCACCGTCCTGCCCCTGCGTGTGGCAGGATTGCCTAATGAGCAGGGCAACCAGCCCATGCACTACTGGCCGTTTGCGACCAGTGACCTCTACAACTGGAGAGCACAAAATGCACGTTTCTCTGACAACCCTAAAGACCTTGTTAATCTCCTAGACACTGTTCTATTTACTCATCAGCCCACCTGGGATGATTGCCAACAGCTCTTGCAGGTCCTCTTCACCACTGAGGAGCGAGATCGTATACTGACGGCCGCCAGGAAATTAGTCCCTGGAGAAGATGGCACACCCACCACAAACGCGGCCCGCATAGATTTAGTGTTTCCCTTGACCCGACCTGACTGGGATTTTAACCAGGCTGAAGGTAAGGAGAGACTCCGGGTGTACCGCCAGACTCTAATGGCAGGGTTGCGTGCAGCAGCCCGCAAGCCCACCAATTTGGCCAAGGTAGGGGATGTGCAGCAGGGAAGGGAGGAGACCCCCGCGGCTTTTCTAGAACGCCTCATGGAAGCTTTTCGGCAATATACTCCTATGGATCCGGAGGCAACGGAGAACAGGGCCGCGGTGGTAATGGCCTTTGTTAACCAGGCGGCTCCTGACATTAAACAAAAACTACAAAGAATAGATAGGCTGGGAGAAAAATCTATTCGAGATCTTATGGAGGTGGCAGAAAAGGTGTACAATCGCCGTAAAACTCCTGAGCAAAGAGAAGACCGCATCCGCCAGGAAGAACGGAAGGTAAGGGCGGCTGAAAACGCACGCCACACTCGGGATATGGCCAGAATCCTGTTCGCCGTCACTCAAAAGGACAACCCGGGTAAGCTACACCCCTCCCGCCGCCCCAGCTCCACAGGGACAGGCAGGACCCTACAGCGTGATCAATGTGCATACTGCACTCAAAAAGGACACTGGGCCAAACATTGCCCAAAGAAACGGGGAATAACCTCAAACAACCCCGCCGTTTCTGACACTCCTGTCCTGGTGCTCGGGGGCACAAGAGATGACAGTGACTAGGACCGTCAGGGCTCGACCCTCCCCGAGCCCCGGCTAACCTTAAAAGTGGAGGGGAGACCCGTTAATTTCCTTGTGGACACGGGGGCACAGCATTCAGTCCTCACGGAACCCTTGGGTAAACTTTCCGGTAAAACTTCGTGGGTGCAAGGGGCTACGGGATGCAAGCAGTATCCCTGGACCACGAAAAGATCTGTAGACCTGGGAAAAGGTCAGGTCTCGCACACCTTCGTTGTAATTCCTGAATGCCCGTACCCATTAATTGGAAGAGACCTTTTAACCAAGGTAGGAGCGCAAATCTCATTTGGACAGGAAGGTGTCGAAATCAAGGACTTTAAGGGCTCTCCCCTACACGTCCTCACGATTTCCCTTCAAGATGAGTACCGCCTTTTGGTGGCGCCAGATCACCCACCCCTTTCTGGGTGGTGGATGGAATCTTTCTCGAATGTTTGGGCAGAAACCGGGGGCGTTGGCCTGGCGTCCCACAGACCACCCATTATAGTCCAGCTAAAGCCTGGGGCTGAACCCATTCGGGTAAAACAGTACCCTATGCCTGCAGAAGCCAAGGCAGGAATAACGCCTCATATTCGGAGGCTATTGGACAGTGGTATCCTTAAAACATGCCATTCGTCATGGAACACCCCTTTGTTACCGGTGCGAAAACCACACTCGCAAGACTTCAGGCCGGTACAGGACCTCAGAGAAGTAAATAAACGGGTCATAGATATCCACCCCACAGTCCCAAACCCTTATACCTTGCTGAGTGCCTTGCCACCTACTCATGTGTGGTACACAGTATTGGACTTAAAAGATGCCTTCTTTAGTCTACCACTAGCACCCCAAAGCCAGGAAATGTTTGCCTTTGAATGGCAGGATGCGGAACGGGGCATCAGTGGACAATTAACTTGGACAAGGTTGCCTCAAGGGTTTAAAAACTCTCCCACCCTTTTTGACGAGGCCCTTCATGAGGATTTAAGAAAATTCCGCAGCCGATTTCCCGAACTAACTTTGCTCCAGTATGTTGATGATCTGTTACTTGCAGCGGAAAGTGAGCAGGCCTGCCGAACAGGAACAGCCGAATTACTGACGGAACTGGGCCAGATGGGATACCGCGTCTCCGCAAAAAAGGCACAAATTTGCCTGCCTGAGGTAATCTATCTGGGCTACCGCCTCAAAAACGGTTATAGGTGGCTGACGGAAGCCAGAAAAGCTACTGTCTTACAGTTACCGACACCCACCACCAAAAGGGAGGTACGTGAGTTCCTGGGATCTGCTGGGTTTTGCCGGCTATGGATACCTGGATTCGCAGACCTGGCCCAACCCTTGTATGAGGCTACCCGGGAAAAAGTAACTTTTCAGTGGACTCCCCAGATGCAGCAGTCCTTTGAGTCCTTAAAGAGGGCTTTACTGTCTGCACCAGCCCTGGGTCTTCCGGACATTACAAAGCCTTTCCATTTGTTCGTAGATGAGGCAAAGGGCATAGCTAAAGGGGTGCTCACTCAGTCCTTGGGCCCCTGGAGGCGTCCTGTGGCTTATCTGTCTAAAAAGTTAGACCCGGTGGCGTCCGGCTGGCCACCGTGCTTACGCATGGTGGCAGCGGCTGCCCTCCTTTTCAAGGACTCCCAAAAACTGTCTCTGGGACAAGTTACTTCCATAACCACCCCCCATGCGGTGGAAGGAGTCCTCAGGCAGCCGCCAGAGAGGTGGATGAGTAATGCCCGAATCACGCATTACCAAAGCCTATTGCTCAACCCAGAGAGGGTCAATTTTTCGCCACCCACGGGGCTAAACCCCGCCTCCCTCCTACCTGCCCCTGACCTGGAGGCCCATCTAGACTGTGTTGATATCTTGGCCCAGGTCCAAGGGTTACGCCCTGATCTGCGAGATAACCCTCTGCCGGACGGACTGGTTTGGTTTACGGATGGGAGCAGTTTTATCCACGAGGGCCGAAGAGCGGCAGGGGCGGCAGTGGTGTCCATGCAGGAAGTCATATGGGCTGAGCCTTTGCCATCCGGGACGTCCGCTCAAAAGGCTGAACTAATTGCCCTAACCAAAGCTCTCACCTTGGCTCGAGGAAAAAATTTAACTGTGTATACTGACAGCAGATATGCATTTGCCACGGCCCACGTACACGGGGCCATATATCGAGAGCGCGGGCTCTTAACCTCCGACGGCAAAGGCATTAAAAACGCTCAAAAAATTATGGATCTCCTGGCAGCGCTGTGGCTACCACGTAAGCTGGCTATAGTACATCATCCAGGTCATCAAAAGGACTCCTCGACTCCAACTCAAGGTAATAAGCGGGCGGATGAGGCAGCACGCCAAGCTGCCCTAATGCCGGTAGATGCCCTGACAGTAAAACTCCCAGACCCAGGGGACCCGCAGCTGCCGGAAGACCCAGAGTATAGTGCTATGGACTTTGACTACATACAGTCTCTACCGGGTGCTTTTTCTTTGGGACACTGGTGGTACACCCAAGAAACTAAGGCCATCTTGCCAGCACACTTGGCCACTGATCTCATTCAGCGCTTGCACCGAGCCACGCATTTGGGAGAGAGAAAAATTCTAACTCTAATCAGGCAATGGAACCTCCATGTCCGGGACGCAACCTGTACCGTGCGACAAGTAGTGGCATCCTGCCAGTCGTGTGCCATGGTAAACGCCACCAAGACAACCGGTGAACCAGGAATGAGGCCGCGAGGAACGCGCCCGGGGGTCCATTGGGAAATAGACTTCACCGAGGTAAGACCAGGTAAATTTGGCTATCGATACCTGCTGGTCCTGGTGGACACGTTTTCCGGATGGCCGGAGGCGTTCCCGACAAGAGGTGAGTCAGCTCGAGTGGTAGCCAAAATCCTGTTGGAAAACATTTTTCCTAGATTTGGGTTTCCAGTGACCATTGGGTCAGACAATGGACCAGCCTTTGTCTCTCAGGTATCGAAATCTGTGGCTTCTGCCCTGGGAGCAGAGTGGAAGCTCCATTGTGCCTATCGGCCCCAGAGTTCAGGGCAGGTGGAGAGAATGAACAGAACTTTAAAAGAAACTTTAACTAAATTAACTTTAGAGTCTGGCGGGGACTGGGTGACTCTCCTTCCCTATGCCCTCTTCCGGGCTCGCAATTCCCCTTATCGTCTGGGTCTGTCTCCGTTCGAGATTATCTATGGAACCGCCCCCCCAACCACACCGCACGGTGCGCAGTTAGCTTGTGATTTGCCTTCTGATTGTGAACTTTTTCTTTCTGTGTGGGCTGTACAGCAGGCTCACCAGGAGGTCTGGCCCCGCCTCAGAGCGCTCTATGAAGGGGGAGGACCTTCTCAGACAGCCCACAAATTTCAGCCTGGAGATCTTGTCCTTGTCCGCCGACACAAGACCGACGGTCGTGGCCTCCAGCCCCGGTGGAAGGGTCCCTACATCGTCCTCCTGACCACACCCACCGCACTCAAAGTGGACGGCATCGCGGCCTGGGTTCATCACTCACACGTCAAGACGGCACCAACTGACGACTCCCAGCTGCAGTGGCGAGCCCGGAAGCATCCCACCAATCCACTCAAGCTGACTCTTCAGGCGCTCCCGGCTACAACCCATCGCTCCCAGACCACTGCCCACGCCGTGAAAAATGACACCAAACTGTAATGTTGGCTACCTACTGTCCTTCCTTTGTTTTCTCCTTGTCGGGGCTGACTGGGATCCCTGCCGACGGTGCATCACCGAAGGCATATTCGGTCATATTCAGAGCAAGTGCTATGTTAGTAAGCGTGCTTGCAGCCTTAAGGGAGTTCCTCTGTTTGTGGCGACCCTGATTAAGGGCACCACCCATGGATGTCCAGGTACAGTGGGAAGGGTGGTCTGTTGGAAGCGTTTAAATCAAATGCCGCCTAAAAATGAAAGTTGCAATCACTGTAAAGAGGGGGGGAGTTTTTCAGCCTATACCTTTGTTCATTCACAGTGCTATGAAAGGTCTACTGTTTATCAGTGCACAGAGTCCAATCAAACTTTCTGGACTGGTATATCCTTAGGAAATAACGCGGGATATGTATGCCCTGTCAAAGCAGGAAAACCCTTTTGTTGGACTCTGCAAACCCACTGGGGGATGACAGATGGTGGGGGTGTGCAAGACCACGCACGAAAGCAGGAAGTTCAGAGGGTTTTTGAACAAGTTGCCCAAACACAGGATCGGTGGTTCAAGCCGATACACATCCCAGGCCCGGTGGGTTCCCTTAAATTGGAAAAGACAGTACAGGCCATGTTAGACTCAGCCCTACAATTTTTAAACAAGACCAACCCAACCCTGGCCAGCGATTGCTGGTTATGTCTAAGAGAAGGACCCCCCCGTTACACAGCGATCCCTGCTGTGTACAACTGGATTAATTGGACAAACCTAAAGGGCCCAACCCATACGTGTAACCAGACCTTGCCCATCAATAATGTCAAGCTCTCCCCAACAGTTGCTCAGATGCCATGCCTTAGTCACAATGGGACCTTAAGAGTGGGTCAAGTAAATAAGGTACTCTGCAGTTCAGTAGTCAGTGCAACTAAGGCGCCCAGTTTTAATGGCTCTGCCTCTATGTGCCCGCCGGCACTGGGCACTATTTTCTTCTGTGGCACCACAGCCTACCCCGTACTCCCTGCTAACTGGTCGGGCTTGTGCATTTTAACATATCTCATGCCCGATGTGGGAGTGGTCCCAGGCAACCAAAGCCTTCCCATACAGCTCATCCAGTCTGTGCCTGCCGGACATAAGCGGGCCATAATTACCCCACTACTGCTCGGCCTGGGGGTGGCAGCCGGAGTGGGGACCGGAGTTGCTGGAATTGGGACCTCTGTTAACCTTTACCAAAAAATTTCAGCTCAGCTGGTGGGGGACATTGGGCGGCTAGCAGATACAACCTTAGAGTTACAGTCTCAGTTAGACTCTTTGGCCGCGGTGGTCCTGCAAAACCGCCGCGGGCTAGATCTTCTCACAGCAAAGGAAGGAGGCATCTGTCTCTACCTGCGGGAAGAATGTTGCTTCTATGCTAACAAGTCAGGAATAGTTAGAAATAAAATTAAGCAATTACAAGAGGAACTAGAACACCGGAGAAAAAAACTAGAAGACAACAATGCATTTCTTTGGGAAGGCTTAGGAGGATGGCTGCCCTATCTCTTGCCTCTTCTGGGCCCAGTCGTTACCCTCTTCTTAATTCTGTCTATCGGGCCCTGTGTCATTAATCGACTCGTGGCCTTTATTAAACAACGGGTAAACACGGTCCAGTTAATGGTGCTGCGCTCCCAATATGCCCCCTTACGCCAATATAACTCTCCCCAACAACCCCTAAAACAGGACCCCTCCCAATACATAGAAGTGGAGCCCTGACTGTTTCCCCTCATCGCCCACTTTCAGCAGGAAGCAGTTACTGATCAGAACGACGCCCCTTTTCCCTGACTGCAGTTAGGGGCTCCATTCCCAAAAAGGGAGGAAAGAGACATAGGGCGAGTTAGGGTGATTAAGCAAGTTTCAGGAACAGTACAAAAGAGGACCTCTAAGGAGTTTAGGAAGGCTTCAGGGATAAAAACAACTAAAGAAACATCTCTTGTTTAAGCAGAGTAATTCTCATTTGTGGCTGAGAACTTTTGCTGGACCTATAACCCTGTGAATGAACAACAAAATGACACATAATGTGACTAAACGTAACCATAATTCTGAGACTGACTAACTGATAAAAGGCTTGGTAGCTGTGTTATTTTCTTAACTGACTAGCCGTTTTTTTCAAAAAAAAAAAAAAAAAAAAAATGGGGAAATGTGGAACCAAGCTTAGCTGAGGTTTCGCCATTTTGTATATCCTCCACCTTGATATGTTAGTCCTTGTCCAGCCGCATTCCGGAGATAGTTTCAGCAGTCACAACCCTCACTCCACTTGGTGACGAAAAAGCAGACCACCCCAGCCGCCAATGAGGGCAGTCCTGTCCATAAATGGGACAGCATCTCTAACCGTCCAATCAGTTTGAAACTGTAACCGCGCGCGCCCAAAGTGCCTTTGTAGTAGCCAATGAATAATTGCCAACTTCTTTCAAAGTTCCCGCCACTCGCGACCCTATAAGATGTCCCAGCTTCCTCTGTTCGGAGCTCTCGACCTCTGCCGTTGCATCGGTGCGTGTCGAGGGCCCGGTCTCGAGCCCGTATTAAACTCCTTTGTGCCCTTGCATCGGTTGTCTGTGTCCTTGGGGGCTGCACTGGTCGACGTGGGCACAACAGGCACCAAGGGCATGGAGGGCGTCAGTGCCAGACAAGCCGCACTGACTCTTCACTAGCCCCAAGCTCTCAATTAAGGGAGGAATTCTCCTAATCTAACAGAATCTAACCTATTACTCCTGTACTTATTTAATCAGCATAGTTTTCATATCTAACTTTAAGATCAAGGGAAAATTCCTTTTTCTGTAAGATTGCTGACTGTTGTTTTAAGGAACTACAAATATTTCATCAGAGGCAGGGCCTGAGATGGTTATAGCTTTTGGTTCTCAGAATGGTTAATATGTGACATCAGCAGTGGTAACATTGACTATTTCCAAGTACATTATTTGTGCTGTCAAGATTATTAGCTTAACCAGTGACAAAATTGTTGTTGGCTTATTCGTGAATGCATACTCCAACAGCTACCATACCCATTGTCACTGAAAGGGAACTGTTAAGGAAAAGCGAATCTTTCCCTGGTAAAGAGCCATAGACATGGAAATGTCAGTAAAAGACAAGCTTGCTTCCTTAACAGGCATATCTAAACAAGGACTGGCAGCCTGCTAGGCTGGTTGTTCTCCTGGGCCAGTCTCAAAGATCTGCATCCTCCCCCTTTTCCTGTGTCAAGAATTTGTATGCTAACTAACCAATGTTATCAATGAATTACGCAGTGCCATTTGCTGTCAGATTGGTTATTCAGTAATTGATCAAACAGCATTTGCAGTTTTACTTTTAAATGTGTATTTTAACAATGGTAGAAACTAGCCATAAACAAATGAGACTCTAGCAGGAGTCAGCTAAAGAGATTCCTGACTTTTCAGGAATCTGCCTCATGCCTGGACCTTTGTCAGACTGCTAGGGGGAAAGGATGTCCTGAGCTAATTCCATACAGGCTTTGTGGACTCCACCCCCACTCCAGACCAAAGCCATCAGGACATTGGGAAAGACAAATCCTGTCACCACCAAAGGGAAGGTGGCAGGGACCTGAGGGTGGAGTTAATCAGCCAGGGTTGGTATAAAAAACCAAACATATGGGCCTGGGGGGGCTCACTATCGCTTGCCTCCTGGCTTCAGGGCTCCTGGCTCGCGGCCAGCTCTCAGAGTGCCATTTGGGATTCCAGATTGGTGGATCGGGTAGGGCGCATTTAAAACTTTGTCTCCCATTTTTCTCCCTGAGCTGTACATTTCATCATCTGCCCTTCCCTTGTAAATAAACCTTTTATTAACCTTTCGTGTGTGCCTGCAGTAGAGCATTGATACGTCCTTTTAATCGCGCGGGTAAGGACCCACAGTCAGGCACCCGTTTTGTATCGGGGCTGCCCTATAACAAGACGACAGGAGTAGCATGGCTCCCAGCATAATAACATCTTTTGAAAGGTTTTATTCTAGTAAAGTAAATATTTAAAGCTATAACCCACATGAAAAAATTATACATGGGATCCGTAGTGATTTATGAGACTGTAGAGACATGCTGAAAGAAAAATGTTTGAGAATCACTGACCCAATTCCTGGGCCTGGATTCAGGGAGGCAACAGTGTGACAAAGGTCTTGGTGCAGGAGAGCAGGGGTCTCGGGGTGTGGCTCTCAAGGTCTCAGTCCCCAGAGCGCTGTTCCAGACTGGAAGTTGTCTGTTGGGGTTTCCTCATCTCCCCAGTTTCACTTCTCACAACCTGGGCGGGTCCTCCTTCCTGGATACTGGTGAGTCACCCCAGGGCTCACTCCCCATTGCCTGGAGGTCTCCAGAGCAGCCAATCAGCAGCCCCGCGGCTCCCGTTCCAAAGCCCCCACCCACCCGCTAGGACTCCGTGGAGGCGCGTCCTGGGGGATGGGGGGCGCAGCCCTCCTGCTCCTGCTCGTGGTGGCCTTGGCCCCGAGGGAGACCCGGGCCGGTGAGTGCTGGTCGGGAGGGGACAGGGCGCTCCCAGAGGCAGGAGCGAGGGCGCGGGCGGGCGTGGGAAAGGCGCGACCTCGCCGCCGCCCTAGTTGTCCCCCCACCTCGGCCCCGCCCCGTCCTGGCCCCTTTCTGTCCCTGAGACCCCAGCCTCCTCTGGCCCCCGAGTCCCGGCCATTTTCGTCCCGCAGCCACTTTTCAATCTCACTCATCTTTCACCCGCTTTCTGTCTCGTGGGCGCCCCCCGGGACTCGAGCCCCCGAAGGGGAGAAGAATAGGCCTGGTCTCCCCTCCCGCCCCCAGGCCCCCACTCCATAAGGATTTTCCACACCACGATGTCCTGGCCCGGCCCCGGGGAGCCCCGCTTCATCTCCGTGGTCTACGTGGACGACACACAGTTCCGGCGGTTCGACAGCTACTCTCCAGGCCGGAGCTTGGAGCCGCGGGCGCCCTGGGCTGAGCAGGTGGAGCAGGAGAAGCAGGAGGAGTGGGACTAGGACGCGAGGATCCTAAGGGAGCGCGCACTGTGGTACCGAGCGCAACTGGACGCCCTGCGCGGCCTCTACAACCTGAGCGAGACCGGTGAGCTGGCGCGGGTCCAAGACGGGTCAGCACCTCCATCCCCACGGACGGGGCGGGGGTGTCGCTCAGGGTCTCCCCCTCCAGGCTTCTCTGCAATTGCCCGGGAACAGCCCGCGGGACTTTCACCCCGTTTCATTCTGTTTAGTTTATTCAGGGCGGGAGGGGGCGCGGGCTGGGTGACCGCGGGGTGACACTGGCGGGGACAGGGTCTCACACCTTCCAGATGATGTCTGGCTGCGACGTGGGGCCCGACTGGCGAGTCCTCCCCGCGTACAGATAGTACGCCTACGATGGCGCCGATTACCTGGCCCTGAACCCGGACCTGCGCTCCTGGACTGCAGCGGACACAGCCGCTCAGATCTCCCGGCGCTAGTGGGAGGCCCTGGGGGAGGCAGAGAGATTCAGAAACTATTTGGAGTACTGGTACTTGAGGTGGCTGCGCACATGCCTGGAGTACGGGAAGGAGACTCTGCAGCGCACGGGTAAGAGGGGCCTGGAGGCCTCCCGGTCCCCCCCTGCCTGGAGTCACTGCGGGAAATGAGTCCTCTCTCTAGTCCCGAGAGGGGGGCTCCCCTGGGTTTCATGTTCTGCACTAGAGAGACTCCCAGAGACTCCGGCTTCTCCTGAAGGACAGTGAAGGGATCCCGTCTCTCCTGAGAAAGACAGACAGTCCCTGACATCACACATCACCGGGTCCTTTTGACCAGGGGCCTGTTTGAGAACCACGAGTTTCTCTCTCAGTCTTGTTTCTGGTCTGAGAACATTTTCAGTTATGTGATTCCTGCTTTTCTGTGTCATTCACCTTCCACCCAGGTCAGGAACAAAAAGTCTGTGTTCCACTCCCTCTGCTTCATCCTACCCTGGGCTTTCCTCCTCATTCTAGTACTATCTAAGAAATAGGAGACTCTCACAGATTCCCCAGATTAGCCTGTTTTTTACATTTTTATGCTTCTAGCTGTTATAGGGCAAACCCTGATAAAAAATGGGGTTTCCTGACTGTGGGTCCTCACCTGTGTGCTTAAAGGTGATGTATGAATGCTAAACTGCAGACACACATAAAAGGTTGATAAACGGTTTATTTACATGGTAAGAGGAAATGGGAAATGAATAACTCAGGGAGAAAAAGAGGGAGATAAGTTTGTAAATACGTCCTACCCGTTCCGCTGACCTGGGATTCCAGTGACCCACAGAGGTGGTGAAAACCTAGCATGCCTTGTGGCCAAGCCAGAGACTCCCGGGCACATGACCAGTTAAATACCCAAATGGAGAGCCTAGTTGCTTAACTCCACCCTCGGGTCCTCCCAACCTTCCCTTTGGTGATATGGGATTTGTAGTTCCCAGTGTCATGGGGGTGGAGTCCGCAAAGCCTGTATGGAGTTTGCTCAGGACATCCTTCACCCCTGTCATTCCTGCCACGCCAGTGGTCTTGTCCATTGTGAGGATGGTCTCATGAGGAGTCTTCAGTGTCCATGGAGGAAACACAAAGTGAGTTTTCTGATTTACCACCTCAGAACCCCCAAGGACACGTGTGACCCACCACCCCACCTCTGAGTATGCGGTCACCCTGAGGTGCTGGGCCCTGGGCTTCTACCCTGCGGACATCACCCTGACCTGGCAGCGAGATGGGGAGGACCTCACCCAAGAGATGGAGCTGGTGGAGACCAGGCCTGGAGGAGATGGAACCTTCCAGAAGTGGGCAGCTGTGGTGGTGCCTTCTGGAGAGGAGCAGAGATACACGTGCCACGTGCAGCATGAAGGCCTGCTGGAGCCCCAAGTCCTGAGATGGGGTAAGGAGGAGGATGTGGGCAGTGATGTTGTTCTCAGGGCCATCAGGAGCCCTTCTGGAGCCCTTCAGAGGGTCAGGATAAGGTCTGGAGCTCAGGGTATGATCTTCCCTTCCCTACCAGTGCCCCCTCCTCAGTCCTCCATCCTCACCGTGAGCATCATTGCTGGCCTGGTTCTCCTTGTTGCTGTGCTCACTGGAGCTGCAGTGGTTGCAGCTGTGATGTGGAGGAAGAAGCACTCAGGTAGGGAAGGGAGTGGGGGATCTTGTCCACTGGGGGCTTTCACATCCCAGGGAGAACTTGCCCTGCCTGGTTAATGGGAATTACCATCCACACACATGTGTGTTGCCCAGAGGGCATTTGGTCCAGACCCCCCTCACCTCCTTTCTTCATTTTTCTCAGTCCTGACCTGGGTCTTTAGTCCCAGTTCTGAAAACTTCCTGTTGTGCAGGATTAAAATACTCCTTTAGGTCTTCTGACCTGACTGCTCCCTGGTCTCCCATGATGCTTCTTCCCACAGTAGGACAAGGAGGAAGCTACACTGAGGCCGCAGGTAAGTGTGGATCTGGGGTTTGATCCCTGAGCCCCTGGGGACAGTGTAGATGGACTCCATGGGGGAGTTACCCTCATCAGTCCTTCCTGTGGTCTCATCTCTGACCAGGTTCTGTTTTGTTCTCAACCAGGCAGCGACAGTGCCTATGGCTCTGATGTGTCTCTCAGCCCCTAAGGATCTTTTATAATGAACCCGATGAGGCTCCTGTTGTGCGCACCCTGGGCAGCAGGGTGATGGTGTCACTGTTGTTCTTAACTGTGATATTGAGCATTTGTTCATATATTTATTTTTCTATGTCTACATAAGTTGCTATGTCTATAAATAATAATAAATAAAATATAATAAATAAAAAAATTTATTTATTCATGCATACAAGAAATGGGGTACAGGCCAGATGCACGGGAGGTGATCAGATTCACCAGAGACAGAGTGGGGAACAGAACAAGCAGACTGATGAAATACACTGCTGAGGGGAGCAGCGGGTGAGACAGGAGAGGTCTGCCGCACCATGTGGGATTCTTGCCTGCTGGCCGGGATCTAACCTACACTGCAGATGCTGCGGACAGCCTCACAGTGCTGCGCTCAACCACCAGCGCCACCAAGGGAGGCCTGGAAGTCAATTTTTTTTTTTGCTATATTTATAACACTGTTTTTTTGTCCTTATTAAAATTGGGTTATATCTTGCTGATCATTGAGTTTTAAGCATTATTTGTAAATTCTTGATACAGTGCTTTATCAGTTTTGTAATATGCAAATGTTTCTCCCCACTCTGTGACTGAACTCCTTTACTGACGGGAAAGCAAGCATTATTGTCCAGACAGAAGCATGGATATATTTTTTTAGAAAAGAAAAGATAAATTTCTAATTGGTTTTGAGCAGATACTGGCTGACTGGGATGTTGGGGGATGGAAGGGAATGACTGACTTATGCGTATCCTTGAGTGTTATTTAAATGTTCTTGCATGAGCATGAAATATGCTTTCAAAACTAAATTACACTTCATTCCTCAATTTATAAAACTCTTCACACATCATGTCCAAATCACGTATTAAGATCAGACTGGCACGTGGGC